CTCTCTCTCTCTCTCTCTCTCTCTCTCTCTCTCTCTCTCTCTGTGCCTTGTGCACTCGGGTGCGCCTGCTTTTTCTTTCCATTCACGCACATGTGCGTTGCTTCTGAACCCATTTTGTTTCCTTTTGTGATATTTCAGGTTTACAGAGGCGATTTCCCCGCGAAAGAATGTTGCCATCCTCGTCGACTTGAGGAAGGCTATGGATGACCCGATTGGTCCATTGATGGCTGGCCTAACCAGGCTAAAGGTGGTGCAGGCGACACTTCGAAAACTCATGAAGACTTTCGGGGAAGGAGATGGAGTGTCTATAACGACATATCCACCTAGCAACTTCAGCACTGACCCGGTAAGAACCCATGGTGGCACTGTCAAGCCAGCACAAGACCATCACTCTCCTGTCCGATACGTCCATATCAGGCCTCCAGATCAATTTTGTAATCAAAATAGAGTGTGTATTTGTGTGCAGTGATATTCCTTAGGCCAGGTTACTTTGACTACGTGTCTGTTCCGCCATTCCCACAGGCTGTAAATATGTCCAGTCCGGTACTGCATCTGGTACCAGTCCAATCCAATCGAGTCAGTCCATGAGGGGTATACCCCAACTGCAGTCTGTACTCCGATTCGTTCCTTACTCTTCATGTGAGTCTTGGAGTACGCCGTGTACAGTCACTGTGAGAGTCTACGGTGTGTGCTGTGTGTTGTTGCCTCCATGCTTGATCATCCTTCCAGCTCCACCCCATCATCCTCCATCTCCTCTTTTCCTTCTGGGCTGGATGGTATTTGCCACATTGGCAGTATCATGGTACCCTGGTGTCAAAGTGGCTTGAGACCATCCCCTCCTGTTCCCCCCGTAGCAGGGAACAACAAGGCGGGAGAGGAACATCGTCGAAGATGAAGGCAACGACAGGCAAGCTGCTGCCATCCCTTTGTTGCTCCCACCCCACCCCGCACCCCACGCCCACCATCATCTGCCAACTATCACCTTTTCCACCGCACTCCACCTTTTTGGCCCCCACTCCCTGCCATCGCCGACTGCACTCCAAAAAAGAAGTTCTGCACTACAGCTCTTAATGACCAAATCCGCCGTCTCCCACTAGGCTCTAGCGGTTTTCTATGCCCTGCACCTTAGCATGTTTCACTGCTGCACTCCAACCTCAAGCAAAGCAGCAAAAAGAAGAAGGAACAAAAATCAGCTTCCCCCCATCCCTTTCCCATAGCACACTGCCAAGACCAGTCACCCACTCTTGATATGCAACTTACGACCGCTAAGGTGGAACCTAGGCAGCTGCTGCTCTCATGCAGACGTGGCCAGTGTGCTAACACATGTATAATTTGTGGCAGCAACATTTTCAATAGGTTCCACCCTGTTATATGTTTCCCCCTCTTGACAACAGTAGCAGCAAGCACACTACTATTTACCTCCCTGCTCTGCTCCACGCCCCGCACCCCCCCCCCCCTCCGGGGGTGTGCAGCAGCCAGCAGTGCTTGCTGCTATTTGCCCCCCTGACCCTCCCCTGTGCACAACAACTACCACACGCCAACGTGGCCATCAGGAAGTGCCACATGGTGCCACGTGCATCAATTCTGAAAATCCTCCCTGCTATGGGGTTGTACTACAGTGGAGGAGGGTGTGCCAATCAAGATCTCAGACAAAGCTGGCAACTTTTTGCAGATCTGCAAGCCTCTCTGGACTGCATTACCTACCAGATCAGCTTATAGCAGACCAGAATAGGGGTTGGCAACTTGGCACACCGCTCATGAAAACAACAGTGAGTATATGCCCTCGTAATTTTTGTCGTTCCATGAGTACATTGAGTAGTGTGGCGAGACCCAATATCAGCTTCAGAATATCAAGTTCTCAGAATATCACACCTATAGACGTTTCTTTCCACGAGAACGTTTGTATACATGCATTCGTAATAATTGTTCCCCTAATCAGTCCAAAAATAAATAAATAAATAAATTAAAAAAAGTCACGTATTGATCTCATCTTGATGTCAGAGGATTTGAACAGGGTCTTACAAGGGGTGACCGTTTTTTCCCCCGAGTCCTTGGTCGAGGGTGGATCATAAGATGTGTGGAATCCATATATTTCAGAAAGCGACTAGATCAAGGGAGGAGTTTTATAAACTCAACACTTCTCTCCTACATCAGCCTCGATTCAAACGCTACATTCAGGATGTCTAGTCTTATTGGCGAACTACAAAGGATAAACACACCTTTTTAATCTCGTGGTTCAATAATGGTTTGGTATTTATCTCCAGAAAGTGTAATGATTACTTCAAGTTGGTAGCTTAAAGTCGTTATAGTCAATAAATGACAATTGAAGGACAAATTATTCATCTCTAATACCCTAAAGCAAAAAGCGGGTCTCGCGTGATGGGCCCACGTGAGACTCCGCAGGCTGTCGCACGGTTCCGTCGGAGCGGGGCGGTAGCATGGCGGGCCGGTTGGGTGGACCGTCGGGAGTCGTTCGGCAGAGCGGGCCGGTAGCGTGGTGGGCTGGTTGGGTGGACCTCCGCAGGCTGTTGAACGGTTGCATCGGAGCGGGGCTGTAGCATGGCACGCCGGTTGGGTGGACAGCCGGGAGTCGTTCGGCGGAGCGGGCCGGTAGCGTGGCGGGCCGGTTGGGTGGACCGAGGAAGCAGAGTGACGTGTTGGGTAGCGCCGGTCGCTGTCGTGCAGTG